ACACACACACACACACACACACACACGTAGTAATCTAGGATCCATACATAAAAGAAAACATAATATTTGTCTTTCTAAGCCTGGCTTATTTTGCTGAAGATAATTATCTCCAGTTTTATCCACTGTTCTGATGACACAAGTCTATTCTTCTTTGTGGTTGAATAAACACATGGTGGATATATTTCCTTGTCTGTTCATCCGTGTTTCCAAACTTGGCTAGACACAATGAAATAGGACTCAGCATCGAAGAAGAAGGAAATTCTGACACACACATGAATGAAGCTGGGTGACATTATTCTAAGTAAAATATTGTCATTTACAGAGGGACAGATACTGTAGGACACCATTTGTATGACTTGCTTGTCTTGGACACATTCATTGGGACAAGGTGAAACCAGCTGCTGAAGGATGAGGACGTAGGAAGTTATTGATTCCTGGATACTGTGTTTCTGTTAGAGAGGCAGGAATTTTGGAGATGGTTGGTTTGGTGGTAGGACAACAGTTAGGATATATTTAATGCCAATGAACTGTGCACTTGAGAATGGTCACACGTTATGTGGATTTCACCGAAATTTCAAAGAAATAGGAGAAGAGGAGCCCAAGTCTGTAAGTGTGCACTGTTTCCAGCTTGATCTTGTTCTGACAATGGCTGGCTAAACACTTAAGCAACTTCCTAGGTGGACTGGGTTTTCATTATTGTTGTTTGTTTGCTTGTATTTTTGCATTTCTCATCTGTAAAATGGGTATGTGTTCTTCTTCTTCTTATGAAATTTTTTTCTTTTGAAATGTCTTTGTTTGTCTTCTCTTGAAATCCAAGTGATCAAGACTGTCTCGTCTCTTCTTTATCTGCTTCTCCAATCTCAAAAGGTTAGAGTGTTTGATCATAGACCCTGAACCTGCCACAGAGTCAGACTTGACCTGTGGCACTTAGGCACCATGGAAGGTGGCTGCAAGGCAGGGCTAGGTAATGTAGAAGCTCCCCTGAAGCTCACACCTGTGTCCCCTCATGACCAGGACAACATACAAAGAGCCTTCTCTTCCCTGCCGAAAGACTAAAAAGAGTTGGTGTGTTAATTATATTTTGTGTCTGTGATGATACACCATGACCTAAAGTCATTTATGGAAGAGTTTCTTTGGGCACATGGTTCCATAATAGCTGTAGGTGGTGTCTTCAACCATGCACAGTGAGCAGAGCAGTGGAAGTGGGATTAGCTGTAAACTCTCAAAGCCCACCCCCAATGACTCGCTCCAGCGAGGCTCCACCTTCAAAGGCTTCCTACAAACTTCCAAAATAGCACCACCAATATGTGAGCCTGTGGGGAGCATTTCTTACTCAAACCACCACAGTTGGGGATTCTTTTGGAACTACTGATTTTACTCATCTGACGTATTTTACTTTAAGAAAAAAAAAACAAAACAGTTCAAGTCTCTGCACCTCCATCCCAGAGTGATGCTTGGTTAGCTAATGTTGGTTAGCAATTTTGGAGCTAGGAAGGTGTGATAATAAATTTCTGCTATGCTATCCAGTAGCTGTGGGTTCTTGTCTATCATGTAACTAAAATCCCCTCCCCCTTTTTTCTTTTGAGGCAGAATCTCACTATATAACCACTGTGGGCCTGGAACTCACTAAGCTGACCTCAAACTCACAAAGACCTACCTGCCTCTGCCTCCCAAGTTTAAGGATTAAGGCCTTGGCCACAATGCTCAGTGTAATTATAACTCTTAAGCCTTAATACTCTTCACCATATACTTGCTTGAGAGGTGTGGTGCTGACTTCATCAAGCCTTAGAGCGCCCAGTGTGTAGAGAGTATTCAGTTTTTGTTAACATACACTCATTAAGGTTGTGGTCCCAGTAGGAAAATTTAGGCAGAGAAGGCTGCATAAAAATGTTGTTGATGGAAATGTAAATAAATACAACCATTATTTTTAAAAAAAAGAACATGTAGAGGCATGAAAAATTAAAAATATTTCTTCCATATGATTTAGCAATGTCACAATATAACAAATACTAAAGGGAATTGAGATCAGGACATCCAAGGGATACCTATCCTCTGAGGTTTTCTGTCCCACTCTTCAGGGTAGCCAAGACACAGAGTTGACCTGAGTGTTTAATCAGCAGATGGAGGGACATGGAAAATGTACTGCAAATGCACAATGGAATGCCATTCAAACTTTACAAAAGAAGGAAAGTGCAATATCATTGACTACGTTGATGAATCTGGAGAACATTACGCTAAGTGAAATAAGTAACACATAGAGTGACAAACACAGTAAAAATCTCACTTCTATGCAAAATACAAAAAAGTGGAACTCATGCAAGCAAAGTAGAATAGCAGTTACTAGGGACTTGAGGAGGGGAATTAAAAAATTCTTTCTCCATATTTGTTCCAGACTCCTTTTTATGACTAATGATCTTTAAACACATATGGGACCAACCACTGTGGATTTGGTCTGTGTCTTCAGCTCCCTAATGCTGCTCTTCCTTTTCTTCCCCTTTCTTTAAAATGAACCCTGTGCTTCACATTCTTCCCCCTCGAAAAGTGCTACCAAAGGTTGTGATGAGTCACAGCAGCCTGGCTAAAGAATGATCAACATAAAATATCCCAATATAATCCAGTCCCACATGATGCTCACCATGAATTATTCATACAATCTGATGAGGACACCGAGAGCATTTGTAGTCAAATAGCTTGTCTCCAAATGATGAGCCACACATCTGAAACAGATCACCATGCTCTCACTTGCAGATGGGGGACAAGGGCCTGGGAAAGCACAATGACTGAGCAGTACAGAGTAAGCAATGAGGAATGTAACATTAAATACTAACACCAGAGCTCAAAACTGAGTAGTAAATTTCTACCCACCCCCTTTCCTGTCCCTAATTTCCTGTAGGATGTATGAGTTTATTTTTAAGAAATGTGCACAGGTGGAAGGAAAACACACATATGAGGACTTTTATTAACCCAACTGTGCTCAAATTCAGCTGCTGTTATACCAACAAAGTGTAAGCTAAGGCAGTGTCTACACTCTGCTTCTTAATTTGGCATGCATGGCCCTTTGTGACTCAGTCCCACCCAACTTTGTCAGCATTAGCTGGCCCACCTACTCTC